TATATGTTCTACGTTATTACGTTCATAAAGATGCATTTTCGATTTTTGCTTAAATATACGCGAGWTTACTTCACCTGGCTTAGTTTATAGTCTATTTTGAAATAAATACGTGGGTTGAATATGAGCTAAAACAGTTTTGATGATAATACAAACATAGATAATATAGAATGGATAGGCCTTTCTGAATATTTCCAAATGATAAGCTTTTTTTCACGAAAAATTTCTACATTTGAGCCGGGATCACAACTGCGTTGTCAGTTACGGGTGTTCAAAAGTTGATATGCGCCCAACTATGGAAATTTCCGGTAGATCGTGGTTGGTGACAGATACCGTGATTGTAACAGGCAATTAGAATTATAGGCAAACGACACCACAACTAACGAAGTAACAGTGAATCCAGCTTATGCATTTTAATTTATATTGTGAATTTAAAATTGATATAATGGTTAAATTCAATTTATTAGTGTTCAAATCTAAAATAAAAATATCAGTGGGTATATTTAATATTATAGTGGTTAGTCGGAATGGTTTACCCATAGATAATATATAGAGGATAGGCCATTCAACAAATATTCGCGTGCCGAGAGAGCACTCAAGAAACCACAGTGGTAGCATTGGCCATTGATTATAAATACTATTTATAATCAACGGTGGTAGTATGATGGTCCAATGTGGTTCAACGGTTATCTGCACTTATCACTTTTTGTTTATCAATCATTCAAATTTCGTGCCTTTTTTAATTTGAATATTCATATTTAATTATTTAACTTTTGACTCTAAAAATTGACTATTTGACTCTACTTTATACTAGTTACCATAAGTTACCTAACCTAAATTCTATAATAATGTATATAAAATGTAAAAATGCATGTAAATTGTAATTATGAATTTTACTATTTAATATACGTAAATGTTGTACCTATTACTTACCACGATATAAACAAAAATGTATGTTCATAATTTTTTGACGGTCGGTACGTGTCGTAACATACTGTATTATACATAGTAGCAATAATTTAAATACAATACCTGCTATGATAGTATGGGTAAGCAAATGACGTGTGCGCGGATTTGAACCATATATGGACTTTTGCGATCATACCATGTATTATTAATTGTACTGTACCTACCATAAAAGTTAATAAAATTGAATAGTGTACTCACTACTCAGTAAAATKTTTAATAATTCAAATTTCGTCATTTCGTACTCCTAATTCATATACATTGACAAGATAACAGGATAACGTAACCATTGATAACCAGGTTACCACAACCAATGTWAGTCTGGGGCTCTTCTAGCACGCGAACCCATAGGTTGTAGGCATAGATAATATATAATGAATAGGCCATCAGCCTTCAAGATCTATCTTCTTTATAGAT